AATTGCCCAAAATTCGTCCAAAGACGAATTCGCGTTTTACCAACACGACAAATACATATAACCAAATACAACACCAATTTATACCTCAACGGTGCGATGAGCTGCATCGCAATTTAATCGCGATATCGCGTTCACAGTAAAAACGAATGGTTCCTCTATCTTCCAAGCAGATACATGTTTGCCCTTCTTGCGCAGGGTCAGCGTAGAAAAAGAAGGCCTCGTACGTTGCAAAGTGTCCGGCTCTACGTTCTCCGCGGTATTTTCTTGATCAACAGAGACGCTGTCTCTGCTCAGGGTGACCAACGTCGGAACAATATCTTTCGCTAGGCAGTCTTGAATGTAACTGAACTGTATCAAAGGATAGTCTCCTATCAAATACTCCTCCTGGCCGCAAACTTTCAGAGTAAAGTCATTCGGATGTCCTTTCGACATTAAAGTGTTTGCTCGCTTGTTCAAGATGGATACCAGTAGCTGATACGGCGTCGTTGTGTGCGATATTTGAAACGTGAAGGCCGTCTGAAACGAGAATCATCCACGCGTCATTTTTCTTTCGCAAACATGAAAAAAACTTTTCCTTTCTTGCCGTTTGCCATTTCGCGCTCGGCCCTTTCAAATGCCCCGCCATTCGTTTCCCGCCTTTCAGCGTACTACCGCGCGCGACGCTACGCAAGTACAGACAGCAAGTGGACGAACAAACAAGGAACGAAGATGCGATCACGGAGAAAAAGAGCGAGACGGAAGGAAGGCGTATCAACATAGAGGCAGCCACCACAGAGCCAGGAGACACGTTCACACTTCTCCCGTGAACTTCAACGTGAACTCTACTAATTTACAAAGGAACGCGCGACCATTGCAAAGTAAACAATCGAGTAAACAACGCGTGTGCCCGTGTGCCGTGAGTGTCGATTTCTTTTTTTCTTTTCTTTTTTCTTTTTTTTTCCCCCCCTTGGAATCAACGTTCGTCTCGTTAGCTAAATTTAAATTTGAACGTGCAGAAGGAGACATAACCTTAAATCATGTCGACGGCTGACTCGACGAACGAAAAGTTCAACAAGGAAGAATACATCGAAGATGCTGGAATGCTCGTCAGTCAGGATCGTTCCTACAATCTGTTGAAAGTCGAACACGAAAAGTGCAAACAAGAGATTTACGATTTAAAACGAAAACTTCGATTGAACGAAGCGATGCTACGCGACGTTAACGAAGCGAACGAGTCGCTCGAGCGTTTGTTCAACCAACGAATTTCCGAGAGTGAACAGCTCATGTGCCAAGTGAAAGAAAAGTAAATACAACGCGAAATTTCTATGCAGCGGAGGGGGGGGGGGGCGGCGGCCAATCTCTTTTTTTCTCAGGCCCCCTTTATCTCTACCTTGTTCCTCTTTCTTCGTTTCAGGCATCGCACCCTCGTGAAAGAATACGAGGACACCATTTCAAATTTGGAAACGAAATCAGCCCAACAAACGAGAGACATCGAAGAATTACGACGACAACGAGCGGATCAATGCGTCAACGCTCAAGTTACTCGAGACCCTGTTACCGTAAATTCTTCCCACGCGGACGATGATACCTCCACGTTGAGGAATCGCATCGATGAACTTTTATCGATTCAGCAAGAAGAGAGAAAGAAGTACGAACACGCGGAGCGATCGATCGCGGAATTGAAATCTCGATGCGAGCATGACGAACGTTGCATTCAAGTGAGGAGCAAATCACCGACGATGTATTTGCCAGCGAGAATCAAATTGTTCGCGCTTAATCGCACGTAATTGTAATCTCCCGTCTCGAAATGGAACGTAAAACGCTTTACTTTTTATCGACAGGGTATGAGAGAACAACTGGACGAGAAGGATCAAACTTTGGAAGAAATACGCGCGCAAGTTGCTTTAAAACGCGCAGAGGTGGAATCACTTCGGACAGCAGATCCTACCCGTGAATCGTGCAAAGGTGAGCAGCACGAATGCTAACGATCCAACATCTCATTACTACACACGTCGCAGGCTGTTTAATTCGGCCGGTTTTTTCTTTCTTTCTTTCTT